AAAAAAAAAAAGGAAATTTCGTTTGGAACAGCTCTAATTTCAGCTTCTTTAAAAGTGCAGCCTTGAAAAATAGTTTAAAAAAAATACATACACCGCAGAGACACAAGTGGCAGCTTGCTCTGTTAATGGAAGACAATCAATTAATGCTGATATGACTGATGTGTTATGAAGCAGTTTTTTAGAGTTCATGTTGTTGGTTCTCTGATGTTCTGAGGGACAGAGTTCCACTCCTGAGCTGCTGTGACTCTAAAGGCTCTTTCACTAAAAGCAGCGAACCTTTTATTAGTTATTGCTGACATTTTTGACAACAACAGAACGATTCTAGACAGGGACCAGCAGGGGCCAGCACCCCTGTAGAGCAGGTCCTGGCCCCTGTTATGGCCCCAAGAACATACACTGCAAAAATTTAATTTTTTTATTGAATCAAATGTTTTGTCCCTTGGATGGAATTTAATGATTTACATTTAAAAGAAGAAGAAAAAAATATCAACCCTGAGTACTAAGTGCCTCATAGCTAATTGTAAAATGGAAAAAACTTTCATTTTACAATTTTTTTTGCTCGAATTAAGAGCAAGTACGCTTATTTTAAGAACGTTTTTATTTATTTCGATCAGTTTTTGCTGTGTAATACTAAAACAATACTAATGATGACAAGAGTTTCTAAAAGAGACCAGATCTAATTAGTCTCTTCAACCATTATAACATTATAGCTTAACCTTTTGATGTATGGATTTATTCTAAAATTTCTTTTTCTATAATTAACTACAATTGTGTGGGTATATAATTATAGCGGTTAATTATAACATACACTGTTTGGAACCAGCTGTGATGGAAACAAGTTTTCTAGACATTGTGGAAAATAAAAAGCATTTAACTTTTGTCCAAAGACATCAATAGACCCCTTGTCATCGGGTATGGCAGGCCGTTTTGACATTTATTAGTTGACTGAATCCAGATGTTTCAAATGGATTTCTCCCTAGTCATAATTAACATCTTTGATATCTGAAATAGCATTCCTCCTAACTAAAATCAATATTTCATATATCTTAAATGTAATTCCTACTAGTACAAATGAGGTCACGTTTCCCATTCATGTGTATTGGGCTTTTACTTACAGATATCTACAGTTACATTCTTCCTATCTAAAACTGAATTCTGACGAGGATGGACTGTAATATCACCTCTCCATAATAAAGTTAATGCTAGTAATAAGGACAATTTCAGATATAAAAAATGAATAAGCATTCTATAAATCCAATTCTTCACCTCAAAAATCTATTTCTGCTTGTAGAAATGTCATTACAGATATCCACTACTTATTTTATGACTAGTTAAATAAGGATTCCAGATATCTGAATTCGAATGTCTATCCATAATGCAGTTTTAGAAACTTCTAAATAAATAACGGGGCTCCGTTTTAACATAGAGTAAGCAGGCTGACTAGTCATATTTCTATCGTATATAGCACTAGAGCATTTTACCTCGGCACAATAACAATATTCCTTATCAGTATTGTATTTAAGATATCACTAATTATATTTCTACCAGTAGAAATGCATTTGTAAGTACTCAAGAATCACATTTTTACTAGTAAGAACTAAATTTTAGATATCTACAAATATTTACCGGTACTTATATTAAGTGGCCGTTTTAACATATATTTACTTGAACGGATATGTATTTCATAAATGTAATAGTATCCTTCCTATCTAAAATAAACATTTCAGATATCTAAATATAATTCTTACTAGTAGAAATGACATCACTTTCCCCCATTCTTGTGTATCGGGCCATTACTTTAAGATATCTGAAATAAAAATAAATTTCAGATCTCCGTTTTGGAAGAAGAAGAATAACTTATCAGTTAAAACACTTAGTTAGACACAACATAAATTTACCATTCACTACGATTTGACTAAAAAAATCTAAACAAGATAACAATAACAAAAAAATTTACATTAAAATTTATAAAAAACATTTTTGGAGATGGGAAAATGTCATTTAGGTCTTTTAAACAAAATAAAATCAAGGGCGACCTGTTTTTCCCTCCCCAAAAATAGTAAACGTACTGAAATATAATGTGTTAAAGGTTAACAATGTGTTTCCTGAGAAAATAAATGCCTTAAAATCCTTTCTGTTTTATCACTCGTCTCTGCCCGATCATCACCGGAAATGGGATCCTACGCTACTTCCGGGAGCTAACTTTTTCGGATTTGGATTTAAACATAAATATAGTGTTTTTAAGTTTTATGTTTTTTGTTTTAACCTTATGCTATATAGTGCGTAATCTAAAGAAAGAAACAACTAAAATGCAGATAAACATAGGTTAACCATATTTTGCCGGACTGCTCGGATGATGATGTCAGAGAAACAGTTTAATGAAGAAAATGTAAAAATGCATAAAAATTGTCTCACAGAAGTCATAAAACATTTGTTAAAGATATGTATTAGCATTATTTAGTGAGTCAAGGATAGAAATAAGTAGTTTTAGTACCATAATTACATTATGTATGGAAACCTGGATGTATATCTGTTGGTGCATGCGCAGGACGGATCGTGCTTCCGGGACGGATCGGATAGTGATAACGCCGTTAAAACCTTTGTAAATAGATGGACAGTTTACCCGTAGAGATGAAAATCTGAATTAACTATGACTTCATCTCTGGCAGCATCCAATAGGGTGCTTACGTATTAATGTCTACGGGGTTTATAGCCTAAATATGTTATGTTGGATCATTTCATATTAAACACAAGTATAGATCCCAGCACTGATCATTTATTTTTGCTAAGAGAGTGATATCTATCCTCCTAAAACTATTGAAACCTCAGAAATGTTCATATAGTGTCAAATTACACTCAGTTAACTTTTTATATTTTATTTAGTGGAAGATAAAAGATCAGTTGTTGTGCTCAACCCGCCTAAGATTACAGCTGCAAGGCTTTTTTTTTAAGGTGTGCCTCTATCAGCTTTACAAATCTAGAGCTGGAAATGCTTCTTTGCAAAATCAAGCTCTGTCAGGTCGGATGGAGAGCAGCTTGTTTGTCTCAAATTTGTTGCCTACTCTATTGAAGTTGGCCTTTCAGGTTTGAACAGAACTCAGCGGCATTTTAAAAGGTTGCTTATTAGTGCATAACTTTAATCTGCTTCAAACTGCTCCACAGCTTTCTCCCTGATCTGCTGTCGCTTGGTCTTAATGATGCTCCTCAAAGAAACGTCTAAATGTTCACGGAACAACTGGATTTATAACGAGGTTATTAACAAGAGTCTCTGCAGGCATTTTGAGTTAAAATGGGTTTTATTAACATATTAGAAGGAGCTGCACAAAGGTAATTTTAACAACCTTATATTAGTTCCCGTCTCTGTGAGTTTTGCTTTTCTCGTTGCAGAGTTGAAGCATCTCAGCCGCTTCACGATGTTCAACGGCGGGTTCAGTCAGGATCAGCTTGACTGGCTGGAGTCTGTTCTGTCTGTGGCCGATGAAAAGAAGGAAAGAGTCATTATTGTCAGTAAGTGAAAACCTGTTTCTAGACTGTGCACATGCCTTTTGTCGTATGGAGCACGCCTCTGACAAGCTACGCCATTGATATCCGCACCTTTTTCAGCGCTGCCATACTGTTTGTCTGCTTTAATTCAAGTTTCAATTCAATTCAGTTTATTTCTATAGCGCCAATTCACAACACATGTCAGACTGATTAAAGTTTTCTATCTAAGGAAGGCGAAGCTACTATGAGAAAAAGCAGAGAGAGCAGAACGTTAGAGATTAAACTAACAGATTCTGCAGAGTGAGAGAATAGAGATAGAATGAAGCAGATTGATGAACAAATGCATGGACTAGTTTCTCTGCATGACCTCTGGACAGGATATTTCTAGTCCATCAGATTGATCCTGCCTTCCAAGCACAGAATGGACTGAACTGCTGAACCAGAGTCAGTGGCGGGTTGTGTCGCACCCCTGCAGTCGCCCCGGGATTCAGTTCTGTCTGTTTGTTTTTGTTTTAAAGATGTTTTGAACTTTCTCACTGACTGTCTCACCTTGAATACTGGGTCCATCTGTCCCGAAATCAAAGTGCTATTTCTGGAGAAACCTTAGTGTGATACACGGTGGTGGCAGTGTTATCCTGGGGTTATATATTTCCACTGAGGGTTATAGCTGTAAAGCGGATCTAATCCTAGTACTAGAACTCCAACAGCTGCCACTTTTTTTTTTTAATGAGTCTGAAAAAGCTGACAGAATCAAGCTGCAGGAGCTAACAGGTTTATTTTCCTTTTAAAGGTCACCTTCCGATCCACCCCGATTCCACCGATGCCGTATGTCTGGCGTGGAACTACGATGACCTCCTGGCTGTTCTTCGCTCCCACAGCAGCGTGGTGTGTTACATGGCTGGCCACGCCCACGACGGCGGCTACTGCCTGGATAAAGACACCGGCGTGCACCACCTAACGGTGGACGGGGTGATCGAAACGCCTCCCGACAGCGACGCCTACGCCGTCGTCTCCGTCTACACAGACAGGATGGTGCTGACGGGGAGCGGCAGGATCGCGGATCAGGTGTTCTTGTTTTCCTGATAGCAGCGTGACTCGGTGCGAAAAAAGGCAGTGGTCACATGATGAGATAAACCGTTTCGAAAGATTCTGCACGTTTTCCGCGTCACTTTATTGGGAGAAATGTACTGAAACGCACTGAAGACGACAACATGTTCATTAAGAATGTGCTGCTGCTGCTCCACCGCCTAAAGGTGGTTACAGTTATTATTTTTATCATAATAATTTCAGAATTTTTAAAATTTAAATAATTATAAATTAAGTCAAAATTAAATGTGTATATTTATTTATAAAAAAAAGTTCAAAGCAATGAAAGTTTCTACGACGATTGAAACTGTTTGCTTTTATCCCAACGGTCTTATTCTGCATTTTAACTATTTAAGATTAATAATTTAGATTAAATTGCCCTTTTTGGACTTAAATTCAAATCTCTTATAATTTACCCTTGAAAATTAAAGCCTTAATATAAAGTTTGCTGTATGCACTTTTTTTTAGCAAGTGTCTAGTTGAATGATGATGCATTCAGGTCATGTGGGAGATTTCCATGCACTTTAATTTGTATTCACAACTTTTCTAGAGAGATAAAACTGAATTGAACTGATTGATCATTTATTGAAAACATCAACTAATGTAGCATTTAAATATTTTTCAACTTGAGTCAAGATAATATAACCCTTAATTTACAGAATTAGTAGCTTAGAGAAGTGATTGAGCTGAAATTGTTCAAAATGTGAATACTATATGTATTTAAGATTTAAAAAAAAAAATTAGGTCTGTAAATATATCCTAGGAAAAGCTCCTCAAAGGTTACAAACATTTCACTTCGTGACCCCAAAAATCCCAAATTAAAGGACTGTTAATCCCCTAAACACACATATAATTACGTAAATTTGTTATTAATATGAAGTATTTCTTTTTTAGGTTGAAATATATTTTTTCTTTGAAAAAGGACATTTTTTCAGCATTTTTTTATTTTTATTGGGACATTTAACTATTTAATGGTTTATTTTACATTGTAATTGATATTTAATGAAGCGTAATAGGCATTACATCACCATAATTGTGAAAACCAGTTTGCGATCCCCCACTTGGTTCAAAAAAAATAAATAAATAATAAAAAGAAAAAAAACTGCTGTAAGATTGAGAGTTTATTGATTGAAAAATGTGTCAACAGATTAACCGACCAGTGAACTGTACATTAATGGTATTGAGTTGAATTGAGAGAGATTTTGTTTTGCAAATTTCTGTCATTAACAATGCATTTAAAATGTGCAATAAATATTTGTTTTTCGTGCAAGACATTCATTGGTGTTTGTGACTTTTTTTTCTAAATTAAACTACTAATCAAAAGAAATATTGCTAAATGAATGAGTTAATTAGTGGGGAGTGTCACCTAGTGGTTAGAGCAGCGAGCTTGGGCTCTGGGAAGGTTGCAAGTACC